GCTAATGACAGGTAGACAGGTCCCTCATGACATGGCAGCCTTTGAAAGAATCTGAGAGTAGCATGCATGCATGCTGGGTTACTCTAATCCAGTGGTTCCCAAACTTATTTGGCCTACTGCCCCCTTTTCAGAAAAAAAATTACTCAGCGCCCCCCTGGAAATCTACCTTCAAGAAGTGGACAAAAAGTTGCAGTGACAAATTTGCACACAGTAAAGAAAGATGTTGTAAATAAGACACTTTGAAGCTCGAAATCATAAAAGTATTTTATAAAATCAACCATAGTAACATTTGCATACACACAGAAAATTAAGATACAAAAGATAATATCAAAATAAAAATAACAAGTGACATTAAAAATAATCCTAATGAGAAGGATGAACCTGATGTACTACTATCAATTTATTAATGTTTGGATCCATTTTTGTCAGCAGCAATCAAATCACCACAATTAGATATTTGCAGTCAGTTTCTTTTTTTAGTTAACAGATTTGTGACCGCACTGAACCCATGTTCCACTAAATATATTGAAGGAAATGCAATTAGAAACTTTTGTACTATAGCCTGTAATCCAGGATAAAGTGTAGGTATCTGCTTTTGCAGCCAGAACTGTTGGTAGCCATCTTTGAATTTAAATTTAAATTCCTCATTTGTTGTTACTTCTATAAGTTCTTCTTGTAATTCTGGAGATTCTTCTGTGCCTGTACTTGAAAAAGCGTCCAAAACCCAGTTGGGTATGTTCATTTTAAGAATATCTTCAAATCGTTGATTAAAGTCAGAATAGATAGCCTCCAAGTGCTTACAATAGGTAAGCAAATTTGGAAACTGGCTAAATTCCCCTCATCCTAAATTCGTTTGTACAGAAGTAGTTTTGCCACAAATGCAGAAATGACAGTTTTTGTTTTAAGTTCAGCTCATCACCTTGGAACTGGAGATTTGTTTCATTAAATTTATTAAACAAGTCTGTCAAATAAGCTATGTCTTTTTTGGCATCAATCAAGTTGGCTCGTAAAGCATCATCTTTGTTTTCTAAGAACTCTAGCACTGAGTCAAAGAGTTTATAAAACCGATCCAAACAGGCACCTTTTGATAGCCAACAAACTTCTGTACGAAGCAGCAAGTGATTGAATTCTTCATCGTTTTCAGTACAAAGGCTGCTGCCACACGGGACAGCTGAAACGCGGCTAAGCAGAGCCGCACCGAACTTGAGACGCCGTGGCAGGATCCCACGGATCCCCTCATCCACGGTGCATCGGTCCCCGGCACGATCAGATGCTGGGGAGGAAAGTCCGATGGGAGGGGGAGGCTGCCGAACTGCCCGGCTTGCGGCGCTGGAAAGGATACAACCACCTAGGTAGGTGGTTCTTTTTTACAGCACGGTATCGCCGTTTGGGACAGAACAGGGACGGGCAGGCAACGATTCCCAGATGTTGCCGTGGGATTGTGCCCGTTTGCTCTGCCCCTGTTCCGTCCCGCTCCCGGCTCAAAAGGCCTTGTATGGACAGGACCAAAGTTGTCCAAACAATCTGTCATTCAGTGAATTGCATCTGATTTTGTTGACCGCTTTAATGACATAATATAATGACCTATGTAGGCATTCACTCAGATTTTTGGCAACTAGATGTTGACGATGAATGACACAGTGTACAGTGAATACATTTGTAACCACTTTTTTAAAATATGCAAGAAACCCCCTGTAGTGCCCCATCATCACTGGAGCACCATCAGTAGCAACTGACAATATATTACTCATGAAAATTTCTTTTTCATTAAAAAAACTCTTCCAATGCATGAAATCGAATCTCCTTTGGTATCAGATTGCAATTTTTTAGCAAATAATAATTCTTAGCAAATTTTTCCTTCTTTTTTGAATTGCACATATACTAAAAGCAAAGCTTAATTTCCTGCCAAAGTTGACTCATTAAGCTGTATAGAGAACTGGGATGTTTTTAAATCCCAGTTTATAATGAGTCTTCAAAATCTTGAGCCATTTCATCAATTCTTCATTGCACTGTGTTATTGCTCAAAGAAATTTTGTATGGTAATATCAACTGCTGGCTTGATTAGCATGGTGTGTATTACCTCACTTATAGCCAGGGGTCATTTCGTAGAAAAAGAGCTAAGGGAACTCATTAGCATAACTCATTAGAATATGCCACACCCCCTGAAATCAGGGGCCCGGCGGTGGACCTGCAAGGTCAGCGGGAGTGCGAGGAAGCCCCGCCAAGGCCCTCCCTGGCCCCAGGCAGGCAGGCAGGGGTGGGGAGAGGTGGGGAGGAAGCAACTTACCCTCCCTCTTCTCCTGCCTCCTCCTGGCTGAATGAGGGCTGGAAGCGGGGTGGCCGGAAGCAGGGGGTGGGGCTTCGTCATGTGCCCCGCCCCCCTGTACCTCACCTGGGGGAACTGCATTCCCCCGCGATCCCCCCCGAAATGACCTCTGCTTATAGCCAGTAGAATTAGTTCTTCCCCAACAGAATGCAGTTGTCCTAATTTAGCAATCAGTAACGAAATGTTGTTAGAAGCATGCAGCCCATCGTCATCTTGTTTGGATGCTATTGAAAAGAGTTTTGCCAATGTCGGCTGTCTCAAAAAGTTTTCTTTAAGTGCTTGAAAATAAGATAAATCCTTATCTTTCCTATCAGCATGAACTTTTGTCAAATGTTCTTGTAATCTTGAAGGCTTCATAGCTTCATTTGATAAAAGTTTTTGGCAGATCAGGCACATCGGTAATGTACTGTCTGTAGGCGACTGAATAAAGCCATAGTTCAGATACTGAATACTATATTGTCTACATTTTTTCTTAGGTTCAGCCATGATATCTGTAAAAAAATAAAATTTCTGTGTTTATTTATAAAACAATTAATTAATATTACTGGCAGTGGGCATGAATTATAGTTCTTCCCACCACTGGGGAATAACACCCCCCCACACACACACACATGAATTGTTGGGGAAAAGCCAGCTTTGAAATAGCTGGAAATCATTACTTTCTTGCACCCCCACACTAGGTGCAAGGCAGCTTACATAGTGCAATCCAAAGAGCAATCCAATACCCCCATTTCTTTAATCTTGAAATCATTACTTATCAGTGGCAGAGGAGGAATTCAAACCCAGATCTCCCAGACCCTTGTCTGACACTTAAACACTGTACCACACTGATCAGATGGCTGTGTCCCAAATAGAAAGAGAAGATTCTCAAGAACTTCCACTTTAACGTCTGGCTTCCCAGCTGCAAAGCCCTGCTTCAAAGCATGCAACCAAGTCTCAGTGAATCTTACAAGCCAAGTGCAAGGGAGTCAGAATTTGCAGTCCTTGGCTTTTCCCATTAAATGTGCTCCATTTACATAACTTCTGCAGACTACAAAGAATTTGGCATTCTTTGAGGCACACAGCAGTACAGTCTCAAGAAATATATTTAAAAATCAACCAGAAAATTACAATATTTAAACAACCAATAACAAAAGTTGAATCACAAAATTAAAAACATTGAGGAAAACCCCCCACCACACCAACAAACAATTACTACAATTAGTTTAAAAAAACAATCCAACAGAAATTCTTTTAAATGCAAACCAAACTTTTAAAACCTTCCCTCAAAATTATTAACTGCAAGAGAATAAGGCTTAGTCAACCCACACCCAACAGAACTGTAACCTAAAGCCATCCCAAGCAGGCTGCCCAACCTAAAGTAAAGGGACACTAATTTAAAAGGTCTTTTTACTAATAGCCTCCTTTAAAAATAATATGTATTTCCCTCAAGTCTTACCTTTTAGATGACTTCTTCAGCCCAGGTAGAGTCCACCACGATCCACGCAGGCAGGCCAAAGCAGGGACAGAGCAGCATCAGCTGAAGACCTGAAGCCAGAGGCCAGCAGCAGCCACCACACAATAGCCCAGCAGCAACACCAGCCTTACAAGGGTGCACATGCATTTGCAATTTGCAAATGTATGGCTGTGATTGGCTGTGGGGACCCCTCTCCGCCTCCCCCTCCCTCACTGATCCCAGAGAAGACCAGGAGAAGGCAGGAAAAGGCTGCTTTATATAGGTTCTTGGCTCTTATTTCTTTATGCTTCCACCACCCCCTTATTTTTATTCAATGCCCCCCAATTGCTCCCAAGGCTCCTACCGCCCACCTGGATCATTCCAGCGCCCCCCAGGGGGTGGTATGGCCCACTTTGGGAACCAGTGCTCTAATCTGTGATACATCTAAAGTCACATCTACTTTCCTCAGAACATCTGCAAAATCTTAAGTTTCAGGAGATTCCTCACATGAACATGTAAAATAAGGATATGGGAGATCCAGGTTCAAATACCCACTCCGCCATGGAAGCTTGCTGGATGACCTTGGACAAGTCACACACTCTCAGCCTAACCCACCTCACACAGTTGTTGTGAAGAGAAAAAAGGTGGAGAGAAGAACAATCTAAGCCACTTTGGGTCCCAATGGGGAGAAAGGCAGGCTATAAACGAAGTAAATAAATAAATGTCAGACTAAGGGCCAACATGAATGCAACAGCCCTAGACTAGAATAAATGCTTCCACTGAGTGGTACCTTAACTTTTAAAAAACAACTTATGAAATTGATGGAGCTGATTATGTGAAGCCACTCTACCAGGGCATCCACTGGCATTGGTGTGGAACCATCCCTAAGTGAGTTATTATGGCATAATCTTTAATACAGCCACGAGCCCATCAGGTTACAGAGCAGACTAAAAAGGGACTGAAGAAAAGCAGATGACAAACCCAAATTAATAAAATGGAAAATAAAGATAACTGGAATGAAAACAAATCCTGACAGCTGGTGTGCTAAACATGAATACAGTACATAATCTAAATATTTGCAGGAGCATTAAAGCATGAATAATAAACCATTTCTGTCACTTTGAAAATTCTTGTGCTACCCTTAAAATATTAATATTTCAGAACATAAAGAGATGTCATTTCTGTATTGGGTATGATTTTGCCAAATCAGCTCATCACAGTGGCTATGCTAGTACTCACCACAAATGTGTAATGCTGTGCAGACTTGGCCACAAATTCTGCCTTGCATTCTCCAATGCAGAGAAGAGCAGGCCCAGAACTGATTCCAGGCTCTGCCTGTCCCATCTCACACACGATTCTGAAAATGTAAAGTCCCACAATGAGTTTCATGAAAGGCAGAGAGGCTGCTATATTCCTGATTTTATGCCTTATTTCCTCATCTTCTGAATTACCTAATTATGGAGTCTTCTCTCTCTCTTTTTTTGCCATGTACTAATTTAAGGGGGGGGAGTCAAAATTAGATGTAATTATTGCAAGCTGTAAACTTGAGTGCTAAGCAAAGCACTACTGGCAAATATATTAGCCCATAGCAAAGAAAGTGTGAAGTCCTTGAAGTAAAGGATGAGTTCATTAAGGAAACAGCTCTCGTTGCATTCCCCAGTTTAATCAGAAACAGACACCAAGATGGAGATAACAGATTTGGCAAACGTGACCACAAGAGAATGCTCTGCTAGTTCTGAGAGCATAAGGCAAGTGGAATGGAACATCACTGGCACAATACAAGCATACTCAAAGATAACATGGTTAATGTTGTCAAAACATTGAAAAGAGAAATAATTATCTTACATATCAGATCCCAAACCAGCTCCTGTATGTGATAACATTTTCTCAGCGATTCAACCCACCCACCCAATTCTTGTGCCCAAGCACGCATGAGAAATGTTGGGGAGGGGGCAGAAATGATACTGCATGACTGCATGGAGGAATTCCAGAGCTGATGCGCTGAAATCACTTCCATCAATTCCATCACTGACATCAATTCGCCTGACACATCACATGACTTCATTTCCACCCTTTGCTCTGTCTTCAAAGCTCCTGGGAGTGCGGGGCAACAGATAGGCAACCCTATTGTGCATATGTCTCTTCTCTGCAATGAGTTCTCCTTACAAATACATTGTGCTGTGCAGTAACAGCATGAAATAGGATTTGATGTTTGCTATGGAACTATTGAAGGAGCTGCGGTGGCTCAAGTGGTTAAGACGCTGAACTGCAGGCTGTGGAAGGTCAGTAGTTCAGCAGTTTGAGACCCGGGTGCCGCATGATGGAGTGAGCTCACATCTCTAGTTCCAGCTCCTGCCAACCTAGCAGTTCGAAAGCAAGAAATTGCAAGTAGATAAATAGGGACCACTTCGGTGGGAAGGTAACAGCGTTCCGTGTGCCTTGGAGTTTAGTCATGCCGGCCACATGACCTTGGAAACGCCTTCGGACAGCGTGGCTATTCGGCTTTGAAACGGAGATGAGCACCACAACCCTAGAGTCGGATTCGACTGGCTTTCGAGCAAGGGAACCTTTACCTTAATGGAACTATTTTTTTAAAAAAAATATTTTATTTTCAGATTTTATCCAAAAGTATATATACAAAACCTTAATGGAACTATTGACAATACTGGCAAGATCATTTCAATTTCTTCTTCACCCTTCTCCCTATAATGCTTATGCAGATTCACCCACATCACGGTGTTATGTTACATGTTTCTCTACACCCCCCCACACACAGCTTTTTCTGAGGAGAAACAACACAGGTATGTCTACCTCAGCATTTCAGAAAGAGGGTAGAAAATTTAACACCCCTTCAAGTTTTGGAGGCAGACCCAGTCGAATGCCAAATCTGGTTTAGCCCTCATTTACAGGACACTTGAATAGATGAAGAAAGGGAGCAGCTGAAAAAGCATTACTCATAAACAGATAGGTGCACTTGTGTGGGAAATGTGGATGGGGAGTGGCTTGCAGGAAATGCAAAAGGGGGAAGCTTCAGCCGAGACCACCCCATGCACCCCATTCATCTGTGTCGTATTAGCTTACTGTTGACAATGACTGTCGATATAATAGTAGGTATAACTCTACCCATTTTGGTAAGTTAACTTTGTCTATCCTGTATGAAACTATTATGATACATATCATATTGGCAAGTCTTCAGTCAGAATCTATGTCATGTGACCTTACCTAGAAACTAATTTCCCCTTAAGTGCCTTATTCCATTTTGTTTGGGATGTGGTAACATTTTGACTCCATTACAAGGGGATTGCTTCAATTTGTCAATTCCAATTTTAATGTAACCAATTAAGCTTTTGTAATGAAGTGTTAATCATTGTGATAATATACACTTTTGTGACTTAATATTTAAAGCTTTAAGAAGCATTATTATGCACCCGAGTTCAGAACTGATTTCGGCTTCCCAGCTGAAAGAGCTCTGTTAAGTTGAAAAGGTTGCATTCTCTTGCACCAGCATAATGCAAGATGCACTGATGGTGGCTTGTTTATTCTCAGAAAGCACAGTGTCAGCAACATCCCCACACTCTCCTACTTTTCTCTGCAACTTAAGTCAATCCTCTTCCACAAAGAACTTATAACACCCTATGTAGATGGAATCCTTGAAAGAAGCTTAACATCAAAACATGTAAATGCTAACAAATGTGAGGTCTGTTATCACTGCATATCAGCACAATCTCCCTATATAGATGCTGCCCTTGGACAATCATAGCACCTCTTGTGGGTACCTAAATCCTTCATATGATCTTCTCCATCATCATATTAATCATGGATTATGTGTGTGCCTCTTTCTCACTCTGATCAAAACAGGGCTGTTGCTTTCTTCAAGCTCACACACTAAAATGCAATGGGAACAGCCATTCATCTCAGGCACAGAAAATTGCAGGTGTATAGACTAGCTGAAAAAGAAATGGGTGGGGGAGAGGTTTTCAAAAATTCCTTTTGCCAGCTAGTACCTTTGAATGGGTGCTTCATTTGGTTGCAATAGAAAATGCTGACATTTTCACTTTTTAAAAACTGTGCAAATTATTGCGACATCATACCCAGAGAATGACTCACAAAGGACACATCGATGATTTCTTTACTGTGCACTCAGCACACAACTCATCCTAAATTCACACCACTGCAAGAGCTGCTGAAAGCAGGTGTAGCACTGGTATAGTAAATGATTCATAGGCTATGCATGATAGGGAAGTAGGAGTGCACTAACTTGCCCCACCTACAGGAGTGGTTGTCCCACCTCTGGGCTACTGGCTGTTTGTATCGGGATGCTACAGCTGCACAGTGACTATTCTTGAAAACCCAACACAGGCTCCAACAGACACAAATCAAGCAGTTGTTTCCTGGATTTAAGGCAGAGTTCAGTCTATGCATGTTGCATATTTCCTCACACAAGCTCTAAGCAACACTATGTTAATGTGTGAGATGGCTGGCTATGAACAGGCAAGACAGGCAGCCAATCCATGGAGTTGTTGGAGGCAATTAGTCTCTCTCACTATATGCATTGACTCACAGTGAGTCGCAAGGCAATCTGGGTGTGTCGTGAAGCAACTGCTTCACAATTTTCTGTGCTCTGAAAAGGTTTCCTTAACTTCCAGTCTCAAAATGCAATGTCACCCCTGTGAATGGATCCACAGTCACCTTTCAAAGGTTTGCTGTTCTTACAAGTGTACACACCTTGTTGCTTTCAAAACTTTTCAGTTTTATCCTAACCACCTTTATTTGAAAGAAAGGACCACTGATTTCAAACCTGAAAAAGTACTACTGTACGAAATAATATAACTTTAGTTATTTAGTGTTCATTAAAAAAAATATTTTCCAGAGTCAGATTTAAGATCTTTGAGAGGCCTCTAGGCATACCTGCTTTTAAATTCTTCGATTGGTAGAATTACTACCTTTTAATAATAATGCACAGTTATGGAATCCACAGGCAAATTGTAAATTAAAGAAGGGTGATATTAATTATTATGGTTGATCTGATAGGAAACTGAAGTGCTAATCTAGGCTGAAACCACAGGTACCCTGTTATAAAATGAGGCTCTTGGAAGTGCCATAGGGGGCTGATTATTGGGTTAAGTGGCCTTTAACCAATATTAACCTAATTGCTGGCTGGCAGATAGCGTGGCTAGAACATGGCAAGTCATTACTATATGAGAATCCAGTCTGCCCACAGAACCCTTAAGAGAGACTTTTTATCTGGATTCATCTTGAAAAAGCAGCTAACACTTGCTGTTATCTGCCCAGGATAAATGTTTTAATGATGTTAACAATCTTTGAAAGCTCAAGAGCTCTAATTAGAGTTGTGATTATAAAATCAAGGTTTCATGCCATCATCAAAAGAGAATAATTTTAATTCCCCCTGTTCCTTTGACTAAAAGAAAATGGAATACTACAGTGTATAAAGCCTAATGGCTGTGCAAAGACTAGCCTAATATAGCTTACAATGGCATTAGTGCATGGCCTTAAACCATTACTGTAATAATAATATTACCTTGCTCTTCTATGGAATCTTTTACCGAGGGATCTAAAGGTACTTTGCAAGTGCTATGCCACCCACAGCACTCCAGGCAAGAACAATAAAATAAATATAGTGATGCTGATTCCTGAGAAGAGAGACCTAAGGCACTTAGCAATTTAAAGATTTGCCCAAAGTGGGTTAGAGCTAGGGTTGCCAACTGATCAGGAGAAAAATGTCCTGTCTCTTTAGCAAAGACTTAATGTTTGGAAATAGGCAGTCAAAACTTTTCATAGCAAGGAGGTAAATATCTCCTGGTATTTGCTGCATGGAAAAATCATATCAAAAGGACAACTAGTGGGAACAGTTTAAAAGTTGGCAACCATGCTTATAGCTGGAAGCAGAATCCAAGTCTCATGCTGTAATTGTCTGAATATACTGCCCTTTCCAAATCAACACTCATAAAGTATTGTCTTGCACTATGCACCATTTGCTAGCATGTCAGATCTACTGACTGCACCAATTCCACTTTTACCTCCATAAAGCACTCCCCAGAGAATAAGCCAAATAGTATGCCTTCTCTACAAAATTTTTTTCTGTAATGGTTAGCATTTATATATAACATCTTAAAACAACAACAACCCAGACCAGGATTGTTGCATTATGAAGTCCATTCTCTCCAAGTTTACAGACCCCCAGCTTGGTGATCGAGCCATACCAGCATGAGACACAGGAAGATCGATGCGTTGGAAATTCAGCTTATTATATCATACAGCACGCCATCTTAATTACCGAAGGAATGATTACTGTGAGCACTTTGATTATTTGACTATTTTAAAGTGTCTTAAATGTTT